TTCAACATGTATCAAATATTGCATTGTTTTCACTCCTCCCTGAAAACTCAAATCTGATTCATAAAGCAAGAGTAAAGCTACACTGACACAAAGAGAAAGGAATGCAACTCTGGATAGCCTCTCTTACAACAGAGTTATGTTTCCCATAGATTAGACACCTATGGGTGGTAAATATCAAAGTTAGATATAGCTTTAGAATCACAATAATAACACAAACATTAAAGTACAATAAGAAAAAAACTAGGACAATAGATAGATTTGGAGATGCCCCCTTAAGAGCTCCTATGTAAGGTTTTTGCCCCCTTTGAGATGGTCCCCCCTTAGTCCCGGTCCTGGAAGTCCTCCTCATTGAAGTCCGTGACACCGGACTGCTCCAGCAGGACTCGCAGCATCCCCTCCAGACGCGCGTTCTGTTCTCGGATGTTCTTCACCCCGCCCTTCAGTTTTGAGATGTCCTTCTGTAGCTTCTCTTGTGTCTCCATGACTTTCTCTATCTCATCCTAAACAAAGGTCAAGGTCAAGGTGAATATTGTTTTAAAACAGGACATAATTTAATACACAAGAAATGCATTTGGTATGGACATATGAATCAAACAATTTTTAACAATATTGTATACAATACAAAGTAAGTAAAGGAATTGTATCTTGCTCTTGCATAGTTTTAATATGTAAAAGGATTGTACACAGTGTCCAGGGCTTTAGAGATCAGTGTGATAAAAGATTCCCCTAATATCTCTGATTCTGTGAATACTTACCAGATCTGGATCCAGGGCTTTAGAGATTGCCTGTGATGACAGATCTCCAGCTTCAGCTCGAGCCAGAAGCTTCAGGGGGTTCAACGTCTTCCTGTTGGGTCTGTACGTGTCACATTTTGCCACAAATCGCCGCCTTATAAATTCTGGTACCACTCTCTCAACATCCAAAGCTAAATCAACCTGGAAAGAAACCCTGAGTCTTAACAAACAACCATGGGATAAACTCATTAACTTATTCAGTGCATTTTCCAAAACTTTTATGTCAGATTTTATTGAATATTTTCATGTTTTGGGTGACTACCTGCATAGCCATTCTCTTGAGAGCGGCCTGCTCCTGTACAGCTTTAATGTCGTCTACAGCCAAACCAACCTAGTGTGGAACAGAAGTCATGTACAGCAAGTACAGTTAATCTCTAAACAGTTACAAAGTTAACTCACAGACAAATCTGAATTCCACAAGGCTTTTATTTTATTACTATAATTTTTTGTTATGTAAAGTAAGAACATTGTAACTGAACAACAGGAAGAATGAATCAAAGAAGACACATGACTCAGAGAATTCTGAAATGAACCAATGAAATGACGTGACATAAAATGAAACTAATGAAATAAGACATGAAATAAAATGGAACCATTCAAATTACACACGACATAAAAAAATGAACCAATGAAAATAAAGATGACAGAAGTTGAACCAATGAAAAGACACATGACATAAGAATGAACCAATTAAAAGACACATGACATAGTCCTATGAACCGATTACTGTAAAGGACACATTACATAGGAATGAACCGATCGAAAGACACTTGACATACGAATGAACCAATCAAAAGACACATACCAGTAAGTTCATGATGATGATGGACATGATGATCATGAAGACGACGAACATGACGTAGGTGATTTCTGGGTAGTAGTCCAGCTGAGCACCGTAGAAGATTTCCTCGTACTCAAACTCTCCTATCATCATCACAGTCGTCTTTATTAGCGACTCCCACACCGTCGCAAAGGCATCCTATTAATAGAAACAGCTGCTTTAGGAATTCAAAAACTTATTTTATTTCATACATATGAACTCTCAAAAGAATACAGTGGTTTGAGCTTATCTCAACAAAGTATGTGTCTGCATACATAAAAATGTCTTTATGACAGATTCAGAATTTTTAACCTGGCAATGAGTTTATAATGAAACAAGAGGCCCAAGGGCCTTGAATCGCTCTTCTGATAAATTGTACAATCTATCACTTCTATTAGAAGCCTCCAACTCTATTAGTATCATAAGACCCAAAATGCATCAACTTACAAAGTTTGATAATATTTAGCAAGTTAAGACTGAAGATATTATAATTATAAAATACCATAAGTAGGTCACAGTGACCTACCTTTTGATTGAAATTTTCTGAGGACTCAAGATACATAAATTGACAAAGACTGATGATTCTAATTAAATAAGTACCTGAGATATTCAAAAGTAGGTCACCATGACTTACTTTTTGGTCAACATTCTCTGTAAACCCAAGATGCATCATCTGACAAAGTTTGACGATTCTAAGCCAATTAGTACCAGAGATAATTAAATATAGCCATCAAATGTCAAAAGTAGATCACGGTGACCTACTTTTCGGTCGACGTTATTCAAAAACCAAAAATGCCTAAACTGGCAAAATTTGAAGATTCTAAGCCAGTAAGTACCCGAGATATTCAAAATTAGGTCACCGTGACCTACTTCTTGTTGGACATTCAATGAAACCCTAAGATGCCTCAACTGACAAAGTTTGATAATTCCGAGCCAATAAGTACCAGATATAATTAAATATAGCCATAAAATGTCAAAAGTAGGTCACAGTGACCTACTTTTTAGTCGACGGTCACCGAAAACCTAAGGTGCCTCAACTGACCAAGTTTGATGATTCTAAGCTAATACATACCTGAGATATTCAAAAGATAGGTCACCGTGACCTACTTTTTGGTCGACATTCTCCGAAAACCCAAGATGCCTCAACTGACAAAGTTTGATGATTCTTAGCCAATAAGTGCCTGAGATACTAAAATATAGCCATAAAATGTCAAAAGTAGGTCACTGTGACCTAATTTTTGGTCGACAATCTCTGAAGACCCAAGATGCATCAACTGACAAAATTTGATCATTTTAGATCAATAAGTACCAGAGATACTTAATTTTAGTCACAAAAGGTCAAAAGTAGGTCACCATGACCTACTTTTTGGTCGTCACTCTCTGAAAACCCAAGATGCATCAACTCACAAAGTTTGATCATTCTAAGCCAATTAGTACTCTAGATACTTAAATAAAGCCATAAAATGTCAAAAGTAGGTCACCGTGACCTACTTTTTGGTCGTCACTCTCCGAAAACTAAATATGCATCAACTCTCAAAGTTTGATGATTCTAAGCCAATAAATATCTAAGATACTTAAATAAAGCCATAAAATGTCGAAAGTAGGTCACCGTGACCTATATTTTGGTCGACATTTTTCAAAGACCCAAGATGCATCTACTGACCAAGTTTGATGATTGTAGGTCTGAAGGTAATCAAAATTTGCGATTTAAACAATTTGAAAACAAATGTCAGCAAAATTCAAAAAGTAGGTCACAGTGACCTACTTTTTCATAAATATGTTTTAAAGTCCTAAGATGCATCAAAGTACAAGATTTGATGTTTCTAAACCTCACAGTGTCTGAAATAATGGGATTTAATGTTTTTAAAAGGATAAGTCACATAGTTCAAAGAGTAGGTCACGGTGACCTACTTTTAAGTTGACAGTGTTTGAAGACCCAAGATACATCAACTGACAAAGTTTGATGATCATAGGCCTTAAAGTGTCCAAAATATGCCTTCAAATCAATTTGAAAACAAATCCCCGCAAAATTTAAAAAGTAGGTCACCGTGACCTACTTTTGAGTTAACATGATGTGAAGTCGTAAGATGCATCAACTTACAAGATTTGATGATCCTAGTCCTCATAGTAAGCAAAATATACACATTTTTATTAATTGTAAATTTAGGTCAACTTTGAAGTGACCTTGAGACCACGCCCTTTGCCCCAGGGTCATGCCTTGAACAATTTTTAATCTTCAACATATCCTGATCCTTGTATGTAAGTTTGGTGAAAATCTGCCTGGTGGTTCTGGAGAAGAAGATTTTTTAGCAACCAGTACTTTTGGTTTTGTTTTCCTGATTATCTCCCCTTGTTTTAGGGTCCCAACCCTTATTTTGGTATAAATGGTAGCCCTTGGGCCAAGGATACCCTTGACAAATTTGACACTGATTGGCCAAGGGGTTCTTGAGTTATGGCCCATATTCTAAAAAGTTAACGCACACCGCACAAATGGCCATAGCATTAGCTCTTTGAGCCTTTGGCTCAGAAGAGCTAATGAGAGTTATAAAACTTGATTTGAGAATTTAAAGTAATTAAAAATATATTGTAAACCAACTTTCATTTGCATCAGCTTTTATTTGCGATTTGTCAGTTTAAAATCAATCCGCGAACATTAATTTTTGCAAATGAGGAATTATTCTATACAAAGAAAAATAAATGGTTTGTGGTGATTTATATTTGTATTTCTAGTAGGTCGTGAAACTCGCGAATATTTATGGCAAATGAATAAAAGTTGTTTTACAACAATCTTGCATTTGAAACAAAATGAGAGTTATCTAACCTGGCTTTGCAGTAGACAGTAGAATCCTAAACCAAAGGCAACAATGAACAGAAAGAAGACAAGAGCGAACTGCATGAAGGTGTTGAGGATGTCCTTAAACATGACCACGTAGATTCCGAATCGCGGGAACTTCTGGAGGAAGAGAACCAGGTTAATCCAACAGAGGAAGATTGCTACAGCTCCTACCGACCACTGCCATGTCTGTAAAAAAAATTATTTTAACAGAGGTTACATATGCATACACATAACGATGCATACACATAACGTATCAATTTCAAGTATAAAAGTAATATCATTTTTTTAAAAAATTTTTTCATCACGTTTTGATTTTATGGATTTCGGGTCTCAGAATATTTTTTCACTATTTCTTAAATGCTTTCTTTTAATTTCATTAAAATTCTATCAAAATAATAATATAATTTCAGTAAAACAAGAGACCCATGGGCCACATCGCTCACCTGAGCACCAAGGGTAGGACTAGTATAAAATGGTTTTTTAATGTAAAGTTTAAATCCAAAAGTAGTCCCATGACCAATCATGGATTTGCTATTTTTTAGAAAATTACTGAGAAGAAGATTTTTAAAGAATTTTCCTATATATTTCTATGTAAAACTTTGGTCGGCCATTTTGGCCCCGCCCTACCCCCGGGGGTCATGATTTAAACAAACTTGAATCTACACTACCTGAACATGCTTCCATATAAATATGATGAATAATGGCTTTGTCATTCTTGAGAAGAAGATTTTTAAAGAATTTTCCTATATATCTCTATGTAAAACCTTGGTCGGCCATTTTGGCTCCGCCCTACCCCCGGGGGTCATGATTTGAACAAACTTGAATCTACACTACCTGAGCATGCTTCCATATAAATATGATGAATTATGGCTATGTCATTCTTGAGAAGAAGACTTTTAAAGAATTTTCCTATATGGCTTTGTCATTCTTGAGAAGAAGATTTTTAAAGAATTTTCCTATATATTTCTATGTAAAACTTTGGTTGGCCATTTTGGCCCCGCTCTACCCCCGGGGGTCATGATTTGAACAAAATTGAATCTACACTACCTGAGCATGCTTCCATATAAATATGATGAATAATGGCTTTGTCATTCTTGAGAAGAAGATTTTTAAAGAATTTTCCAATATATTTCTATGTAAAACTTTGGTCGGCCATTTTGGCCCCGCCCTACCCCCAGGGGTCATGATTTGAACAAAATTGAATCTACACAACCTGAGCATGCTTCCATATAAATATGATGAATTATGGCTTTGTCATTCTTGAGAAGAAGATTTTTAAAGAATTTTCCTATATATTTCTATGTAAAACTTTGGTCGACCATTTTGGCCCTGCCCTACCCCCGGGGGTCATGATTTTAACAAACTTGAATCTACACTACATGAGCATGCTTCCATATAAATATGATGAATTATGGCTTTGTCATTCTTGAGAAGAAGATTTTTAAAGAATTTTCCTATATATTTCTATGTAAAACTTTGGTCGACCATTTTGGCCCCGCCCTACCCCGGGGGGTCATGATTTGAACAAACTTGAATCTACACTACATGAGCATGCTCCCATATAAATATGATGAATTATGGCTTTGTCATTCTTGAGAAGAAGATTTTTAAAGAATTTTCCTACATATTTCTATGTAAAACTTTGGTCGGCCATTTTGGCCCCGCCCTACCCCCGGGGGTCATGATTTGAACAAACTTGAATCTACACTACCTGAGGATGTTTCCCCATAAGTTTCATCTTTCCTGGCACAGTGGTTCTTGAGAAGAAGATTTTTAAAATATACCACTAAATTTTCATTAATTCCCAATTATCTCCCCTTGAATAAGGGCGTGGCCCTTCCTTTGAACAAACTTGAATCCCCTTCACCCAAGGATACTTTGTGGCAAGTTTGGCTGAAATTGGCCCAGCGGTTCTTGAGAAGAAGTCGAAAATGTGAAAAGTTTACAGACAGACGGACAGACAGACGGACGCCGGACAAAATGTGATCAGAAAAGCTCACTTGAGCCTTCGGCTCAGGTGAGCTAACAAGAATACTTCCTTATGATATTTAGTGTATAAATGTCCACTTACAAATCTGAATCCCGTGGACTTCTGACAACTCTCAAAGTCGATAACGAGGAGTAGGGCACACACATAGGTCACCCACTCTATCAAGTTCTCAAAGCCCAGGTACTGTAGCTTGGCCTGATAGATCTGTAACAGCTGTAACACAAACAATAATACTGTATATCAATTAAACAAAGCCCAGGTACTGTAACTTAGCCTGGTAGAACTGTAATAGCTGAAACACAAACAATAATACTGTATATCAAGTGAGACAAACTCTAGTTTTGGGCCTAGGTTTGCTGGTTTAGATTTTGGGCATGGCCTAACACTCTGTCTAGTCTTGTTACATGTTTTAAAGAGAACTTGTAATCTGCTATTAGAGAGTAATAATCATTTCCTCCTGTAGCATTCTTGTTTCTTTCTGCATTTTTTTCTGTTTTCAAAATTGGGAACATAATTAATAAAATATTGTCAATTTAAAATCATTAAAATTTAAGGATATCTCTTTATATATACAACAGTACTATTTTTTTTGGATGTCAAACACCTTACCTCTCTGAGTAAGTTCCATGCTGCCAGACCCATAATGACGTATTTCCCGATCGTAGCGAAGAGTGGCTGGTCAAACATATCTTTGCTGGGGTCATGGAGAGTTAGAGCTTTTGCACAGGCAGTCTTTTCTGGGGTACTTGATGAAATGCTCGAGTCATTTCTCTTTAATTGCTCATATCTAGAAAAAAAGATGCATTGAGTGATAGGGTGACTAAAAACAAATTCCTATATAAACCTCCAAGCAATTTTAACAGCATTTTACCCAATCGTTATATTTTCTGAATTTTTATTTCATGTGAATCTAACTGCTCTAGAACAAACAATTATACTTTTCATCAAAAAGAAACTTTTTGTTTAATATATATTTTTGCCCATGATTTTTAACCTACACTTCAAATGGAGGATCTGTCTGGACGACGTAGCCCGTGAGAAATACCAGAAAGATGGCATAGATGAGAAAGTTGATGTAGTAGAACGTCCGCCCAAAGCTGTTCCACTTGTGTCGAAGTAAAGCATTCACCAAGGGATGAGCCAGTAGGTCCTCGCGCTTAGAATCCACCTACAGTGGCAAATAGAGGTATTTAAATGAAAGAGTACCAAATAAATTTTAAGCAAAATATGGAGCCTTATTTAGTACTTTGCCAATTAGATGAACTAATTTTACTTGCAATTTTCAGAGAGAGGAACAAAATCTTAACTTGAATAGAAGTATCATTTTCAAAGACTTGGAAATTTTTAAAAAAATTTTATTCTAAGTAAAAGTAAAGCCAGCACTGTTATTCAATTTTTCCCAACCAATAAGGTGAAAAATCAATGAATCCATGCATTTATGAATCAATCAATAATTTCCCCTTGAGTTGCAAGTAATATTGACCTACCATTATAATGAGTGGATGGTTGTTCTTTAATTCGCTGGAGTCGGACGTGTATGGTCGGGCCGACACATTGAGTGTGAAGTCCTCATTGTAAACACTCCCTGTACAAAAATATCATAGAGTCAGTATTATGTACGAAAATATCATAAAGTCAGTATTCTGTACAAAAATATCACAGAGTCAAGATTAAAAATCTTCCCTAACTGTTTGTACACCATAGAAAACATTAAATGTCTAAAATCTGTTCAAACTTCAAGTCCTTTTTCTGAACACATTCACAACAGATGGTGATCACCCTTACAAAGACCAACTCAGAATTTATACAATGACTACGAGAAAAGACAACATCAAAACACTTCACAAAAAATAAAATAAATCTTTCTTTGGAATCAGTCGCTCCTAAAAATAATAATTTAAAAACATTCCCACAAGTAAAAGGAACACATTTTTAAACATCTTGACCTATAGACTATTATATTAGCTATTTTTTGTCAAATCACGTATATTAAAGACGTACAACACACTGGGGGAGATAACTCTTGCGATTTCAATTGAACGTTTGACGTGACGTCAAATATAACGTCAAAAATAAAGCGTCAAAACGACGAGTAAAACGATCCCGATGTATATCAAGATTTCATGAAAGAAAATTGGGATATGGGGCTTGGCTGTGATTGTGCGTACCATACTCAATCAATAAGTACTTTTTTAATTAACCCGATTAAACTCCGTAAAAAGCAAAACATAAAATACCATCCCTTAATGTTTATTTCATTTCATTTCATATACAATAAATTGTATTTTTGATCAAAGCGCAGCATTTTTTTTTATTCTGAAAATTTTATTTTATATTGCCGAAATTCTCATTATGTACAGTTGGCTATATAACATTCTGATTAATGGTCTACATTACAATTTGTGCATTTACGATATAAATATTGTTTTTCTTCTTTAATTAAATAAAACAACAATAAATAAACAAAAAAAAAAAAAAAAAAAAACAAACTTTTTACAATGTAAAATCGATGTTTTTCTCAGACCCTTACTGATCAAAGAGGAACAACTCTGAAAATGTAGGAGATGTTTATTTTCTTCCCTTTATTCACGGTTTTCCACAGAATCAGCTACATTTAAAGCAAGACCTGATAAATCCGAGAATTGAATACTATAGACCTCATATACACAATGTAAGTATAGAATATTGAAAAGAATTGTTCACTTGTACTGAAATTATCTGCATTTATGAATATCCTATTGCGGAAAATCGTCTGACTTTCTGTCAACAATGTCGGTTCGCATTTCCTCGAATCAAAACAAAACGTAGCCTATAAGATTTTGAAAAATATCAAAGTGCGATTTGATAAAAATTGAAATAGATGAAGAGTTTAATGTTTGATATTTTGAAGTTAATGTGGACGAATACAGAATTTTCATTTTAACTTTAGAAGCGACGACATTGAAAGAAATGCGTATACATGTACAATATCATGAGGGGTGTACATCTATGCAAATGTCGATGTATCCCAGCGGTCACATACTGTCTCGTTTGAAATAATGACATGAAAGAAACTACAATTATTCCATTTATATCACAAGAGAGTTGAACATACATCATTTTTTAATGAATAAAATTAAAGAAATAAAATTAAAAATCAACATATTCAAGTTCAACAAAACTTGAATATTGGTATCCAGGTTTCATGTGATATGGAATGCTTAACGCGGGTGTTGCTAAAACGCGGAACGGAAAACGGAACGGAAAGCGGAACGGAACGGAAAACGGAATATATTATTTTGGATTAAATCACGTAAAATACAAAAATTTTATCACAAACAATACATCTTATACAAATTCAATCCCCCACTATTAAATACAAGTTGATTTAGTCATGCTCAGTCTCTTAATTACGAAAATCGCTGACATGGCAGTGACGTAGATTCGAATTTGAAAGGGGGGGGCTTACTTGATAAGCATTTCACAAGCAAATAAAAAAAAAAAATCAAAATCAAAAAGAAGACAATTGTTTGACTCGGGAGGGGGGGGGGGAGGGTAAGTTCCAAATCCATCTTTCAGTACTATTTTTTACACAAACTTACTACATCAATTACATTATAACAAAAATTGTGCGGATGTCAATGAACATTTCTTTAGTAAAAATGGATATGACCGGAAAAAATTGGGGGGGGGGGTATTTAATATAAAGTTGAACTATGGAAAGAGAAATAAAATTAAAAAAAATATAATTATCAAGATTACGTTTAGGGCAACCCCTTCCGGCAAGCTCGAATAAACACCTCTTATGTAATACTGGTTGTTGAAATTTTATACAAAATAGAGTCACTTTCTATATATTTAAATTCTGGATAGATAAAGTTGGAATACTTTCCTTTGGTAGGTTAAGGGTAGCAATGTTTACATTCAATGAAGTTAAAGTTTATTTGCATGCAGTACATGTGTGTTTGTTTGTTTTTATTTTTTGGGGGGGGGGGGGGGGGTAAATGAATGACCCCGTTATACATTTGATTTGTTTTTCCGTTCATCGGACTAAGAAATTGCAAAAGCCCCCTCCCTTTTGTGTCCAAAATGTACATAAGATTTTATAAATTTATTTTTTAATGTGGCTGTGGGCCCCTACCCAGACCCCAAACTGTCCCTCCCCATTTCAAGATTCCAGGATTCGCCACTGCTTGCATAATCTGAACGTCAAAAATAGCTATTTTTAGCCGGGCTTATTGCTCAAAGAGCAATTGCCGGCTTATGTGATCCTGTTCAAGGCAGGATGTTGACCCCATAGTCGCCATTTTAAAGTTACGTGCAAAAATATAGTTCTTACTCTCAACCGCTTTTGAGATAATACAAACGCTAAATAAAGCAACAAAAATAAAACGAAGTTTTATCTATATAAAATAAACATTAGTAGTAATGACTTTGAAAACTTTATAAGTCAAAGAACATAGTTCATTAGCGTAAGGATTTTTGATAATCACTGTTACCTTAGTTCTCTACACATAGAGGGAACCAGACTGGCCTGTTTGTTTACATTCAGCTGCGGTACCAGATTAATTCTGATTCTGACAAAATCGGACCGTGGTATTAGGATTGAAAAATTCACTGTCAGTGTCTTATCATTTATATTGATTGATTTAAAATAATTTTTTCATCAGAATATAAACGTGATTCATGTACGAAATCCATTCTACTCTGTAAATGAGCCCGGCTCTCTGTACTTCTGAGTACTTTGATTGTCTTTGCAAACACAAGCGTCTAAAGCAAATTGAAAGGGGGAGGCTAAGTGAAAGAAAAAAAAAATTCCAACGTACAAGAAAACTTGGCAAGCAAAAAAAGGAAAAAGGGAAATACGTCCTTTGCCCAAACACGAAAATCCCAGGGAGGGATCGCGCTTTCTTTCAGTACCAAATATTTTCCAAACACTATCACTTAACCTTCCTTGATCTAATCTGCGACGTGCCTGTTGAAAGTATGTGTGTGTGTGTGTGTGGGGGGGGGGGTTACGCTCCAATGTTCATTGCCTATATTATGGTTACCTTCTCAAAAAAGGGGGTTCCCCGGTTCCGACGCTTTTGACAAATATTTATGCATGTACATACTAGTAGTCTTTTTTTCCTTCTGCCTATTTCAAGAAATATCTTTTTTTAATGATTGAGCTTTCTTTAAAAAAAACAAAAACAATTTGTATGAAACGCTCAGATGAATACTAGTACTTGGGACTCTGAGTCTAGTCAGTACGTATTTTATAGACCATGATCACTTGTACATAAGTTCTGAGCGGAGGGTGTGTATAATTCATAAATATATTATAGTTTACAATAAATTTTTATTAGATATGACTTTTACATAAAAATTTTTTCCGTTTTCCGTTCCGTTCCGCTTTCCGTTCCGTTTTCCGTTCCGCGTTTTAGCAACACCCTGCTTAACGCATACATATATGAACTAAACACTAAAATCCTTCAGTAATTTTTTCCTGATACATATAAAAAGAGTAGTCAATATTTATTCTGCATTCATGAATTTAAAAACTAATGCATACCTTCGGGATTCAAATGACGAAATACCAGTATATTTGCACTGTAAACGACGTTTCGTCAAACGCAAATGGTCTGCGACGCAAAAAAGGAAGGGGTGGGGGTGATAGGGGTATTCAAAAATTGCCTAAAAATCTACATTTAAATAAGCTTTACATATAAGAACTTTTAAATTTGTTAGTTAATATATTTTTGAAGCAAAAGCAATATTCCAATTGAATTTTTTTAATGTGTATTTGTAGATTCATAAAACAAAGTGATCGACCGCGGTCGGAAAGACGCGCGGGAACGTGATTTATTGAGAAAGGGGGAGGGGGTAATTTTCCGCTATTAAATCAAAACTGGTCGTACAAAAATTATGCAAAAAATTATGAAGATTATTTTTACTACCAGCTACCTAAAGAAAGTTTTTTACCAAAATTAAACGACAGGTTTTTTCACAAAAAAAATTTGAATTTGAAAAATACGCAATTTTCAAGGCTTAGATAATTCATAGTTTTTCAGTTTAAGGCCTTTAAAAATTATTTTAATGATATGTATATCAAAAAGATGACTATGTTTTTGTGTTAAATGGTTAAAGGAATAAGCCAATGAAATTTGACATTTATATCTAACCCGGCTTTTTTGAAAATCAAGGTTTAAGTAGTTCATTGATTAAAACTTTTCTCTCCTTGTAAACAACTAAAGGGTGGTAACTTTTGGAAGTTCCTGTCCAAAAACCACTCGAACGATTTTGTCCAAAATGTGCATACGTACAGTAGATATAGTCATGTACTAAATATACAAAAATAACGAAAATTAAACGACAGGAATTTTTTGGGGTAGGTGTGTTGTACATCCTTAATATTTCCTGAAAATAACTCTTTTTCAAACTTCAACGTCTTCTTTTATTGACAAATTGCCTTCTCTAAACAAATTGATACGGATAAAGTTTTTTCAATTTTTTTTTATCTTCCCCAACTTTTGAAGTATTTATCCAATTACAAAGATCATAATGCTGCAAATAAATAGTAGTCTCTGATGCATTTAAACTCAAAAAGAAGTAATACTGGTACAAGTAAACTAAAATTTAAAACAAAAGATACAAGTATACACTAAGTCTTAAACTTAAATTTTGAAACACAAGCTACCAAACTGAACATTTTTTTTTCCATTCCTGACAATAAACTGCTTTAGAAATCTCACCCGTCATCCTTCCCCGCTCTGCAGGCATGCAAAAAGCATAAAACATGCATAGCAAAACAAGGCAAAAAAATAAATAGGTACTAATCACTTAGCATGCTATAATATGTCTACATGAGCAAGGTTCATTTTATCAAACCAAAAGAGAACAAGCAGCCTATTCAAATGAATACAACTTTCCACAGCCCAAAATCTTTGTTTTACAAATTTAAAACAAAAACAATTTATCATAATTTCTAAAATATTTTCTCTATTCACAAAGTTAACACAGCCTATCCTGACCCCTCATTCGTTTCTCTCCCCCACCCCCTCTTTCATACATCCACATGATCCGGACTCCTCAATTGTTCCTCTTCCCACAGCTAATCCTATTCTCTCACATACTTCCCCCACTTCGGTCATCTACTGATTCACTTTTCCACTTTTCCCCTCTTCCCCCCTCCTTTTTTTTATCAAACACTCAGCAGATCCAGACCCTTCTCTATCAAACACTGACCTGACCCAGACCCTTCACTAGTTCCTCCCTCTGTCCAGTTGGAGTACGTATCATCCAGGAACTCATAGTTAAATGTACACTTGTAGTCAGGGTGCTCTGGGTTCCTATTGTTTGTCGTCATACAGCGAAGAAACGCCTCCTCTGCTATTTCTGTAAAAATAAAAAAATATACTCTCTAGTTTGGGTCATCACAATACTTTTGATTTACTTCTCATTAATAAAATGAAATTATCTAATCACAAATAAATACCTCTCTTTTTGCAAACTTAAAAGAAAACTATAAAGTTTAACAATTACCAGGTAATTTAAAAATCAAATAATTTTCTTGTCGAGTTAGTTTTCTGATGTTTGTAAATATTTTCATTCATTATAATAAATGTTGACCTGGCATCTTCTTGATTAGTTTCCTCAGTGTGGTACCTAGCCCTGTCACTATGTCTAGTGTCTCATTTATTATTATTAATAGATACTGACTTTGCATTTTCTTGATGAGTTTTCTCATTGGAGTGGTACCTAGCCCTGTCGCTATGTCTTGTGTCTCATTTATTGTTATAGATACTGACCTGACATATTCTTGATGAGTTTTCTCATTGGAGTGGTACGTAGCCATGTGGCTATGTCTAAGGTCTCATTTATTATTATAGATACTGACCTGGCATTTTCTTGATGAGTTTTCTCATTGGAGTGGTACGTAGCCATGTGGCTATGTCTAAGGTCTCATTTATTATTATAGATACTGACCTGGCATTTTCTTTATGAGTTTTCTCATTGGTGTGGTACGTAGCCCTGTTGCTATGTCTGGGGTCTCGTTCCTCATGGCTTCCTCCCATTTGTCACTGTTTATGATGACCGATGCAACATCACTGGAATAAAATTAGATACAAGTGTAAAAATAAAGCACTTTAAACAAATACAGCAGAATGAGGTCAATCAAGTCTTCTTCTTTACTGATTGATGTCTAATTCTTCATGTCTTACTGCTCTATAGACCTAGCTTACAATGAAATAAATAATGATTGTTACATACAGTAAACTGGTGTAACATGCAGTTTATTGGTTGTGACTTACGGTTTATTGGTCGTGACTTACGGTTTATTGGCCATGATTTACAGTTTATTGGTCGTGACTTACGGTTTATTGTTGTCAATAGCCAGATCAAGACAATTGTTTCCATCCGTGTCTCGTTGTGACACATTAGCGTTGTGTTCCAGTAAACATTTCACAACATCAGCATGTCCGTAACGAGAGGCCAGATGAAGGGGGGTGGTCTACAAAATTACATACATTTACATGTATTCATCAAACACTTGAGCAATAAAAGTAACCAAATTTTT